CGTAGGTTACTGGATTCTGGGATTGACCGTTAGAATTTAGATAATTACTCCAAAATTTTATGTTTAATTGCTGTCAAACTCTTGCTCTCACTTTTTCCTCTATTTTTCTTTTCAATTACTCTCTGATTGTTGTCATTTGTTCTGAGGTTTAAAGGTATAGTTATAGGGTACAATAAGTAGAATTTTAGATTGATTTCAATTTCAAAAATTAGGATTATCATGAAAAAATAAAATTTATCTTTGAAAATTTTAATTTCAAATTTATTCATGATAAAACTACATTACCACCAACCACTCATTTTTAATTTATGGCGACTCATTCTTTTTTTTTTAATTATCCATTTTTGAAATATCTATATACATTTAAAAAAATTAGATAAATATAAGGAAATACAACTAAAGATAAATCACAAATAAGCAAAATAAAATAAGTAATAAAATAAAATAAAAAGGATAAATAAATATATATATATAGATAAATAAAGTAAAAACGTAATTTTGACAATTAAACTTGCATTAAATCTGAACCTAATTAATTTAGATTTTAGACTAAATTAAGTGTCTACAATAATTTCACGGTGAAATTTTCTCTCACCAAGCTGCTAAAGAAACCTAAGTTGTTAGAAAATTCCTTGGCGGTGGCAAATTCCATATTTAGCAATGTTATATATTGATGATAGGTCAGCTTAATTAGAGTTAGAGTTAATCCTAATTGAGTGTTTTGGTAATATGTTTGGCATCTCAAGACCTGACAGTATTTCTCAACTTTTCTTGGTAACTAGGATTAGACTTCTTGAGTTCACATGGGTCCAAAATAGAACCATTGGTGATTGGATAAATAAACTGATTTCAAGAAAAAAAATTTGAATTTGGAGCTATGCACTTTAAGAAAGGGACAAATAAAGTTTGGACATTGATGCAACCAGAAGACCGCAGCTAGAACCCCAAAATTTCTTTTCATACTTGGTTGATTTTCTAGAACAATTTAAAATATGGAAACAAAAATGTTTAATTTTCTGATACTCTTTATCAAGAAAATTCCAAGCTCGAAACTAAGAGTTTGATATTTCAATATTATATTAAAAGATTTTGAAGTTTATTATGATATATAAATAAAAGTTTAAATCTAAAATTACAAGACACTTTTTATGAGTATAATCATGAGATTTTCATATTAAAGTGAATAATACTTAATAAATTGGATATGAATTTTTATAAATAGTATCAAAATAATTATCAATTGGATGAAAGTTAAATACTATATTGTGAGAGTCATCTTCAAAATCTCGAAAGAGTTAAGTGCTATATAATAAAAATCATCTCTAAAATTCTAACATTTGATGTGATTTTGATTTTATCTGTGTTTTGTGTTGGATACGTGAAAGTTAAGCTTTAACGAGAAAGTTTGTAATATTTTGATCTCATATCGAGATATTTTGTGAATCTGTTATGATATATAAATAAAGATTTAAATTCAAACTTATAAAATATTTTTTATAAGATAAAACTATAAGACTTTTCAAATCAAAATTAATAATATATTATAAATTGAGTGTGAGTTTTCAAAAAAAAAAATCAAAAATTTCAAAAAGTATGAACTCTCTTGTCAATTTTCTTCCTATGTTTATTGGATTCTGGTTTATTTTTCAATAGATGATCGGAGACTGATCCCGTGAGCAAGTCTTCTTCAATCGTTATCACACAATCGTCTATTTGATTTTGCCATACCCATCGATCCATTTGAAAGAGAGATTCAAGTTGGTTCATTAGGTCATAGGACTCGTGGTATGATCAGTGTTGACCAAGTCATTGAACCTGTGACAAATTTTTATTACGAGTGGTTAATACCATTATCGTAATGGTCATTATCATCTATAAAAAAACAAGAAAATGATTGAAACATTATTACAGCCCATTGTTTTCTCTAATTTGGAGGAACTGGGATTCACTTAATCTATCTATAATCCATCTTCTGTATATATCTTTGAAGTGTAACACTTCATAAATTCAAATTAGTCAGCTAATTAAGCAAGTGGAAGTAGGCATATATTCTTTATTTTATTTATCCGATAATGAATTGTTCCGGGACAAAGATTTATCCACGTAAATAGATTTTTTATCAGAAAAAAAATATAAATTAATAAATTAAATTGCAAATGGTATTTAATTTTGTTGTTTGGATTCAAAATGAGTGTGAGATATGATATGTATCTAATATAAATATATTTAATTTTGTATTTATGTTTGCCGAATATGTTACAAACACGGATATTTCAAGAAAAATAAAATAAAAAATAGAGGAACATAGCCATTTAAATTACATTGACTTATTAATTTCATCTTCACAATCACAAGCATCACCAAGCTGAAATTGCCCGTCACAAGCTTAGCTCTTGATTAGCTGCCAAACTCACATGAAATCGCATGAAAACAACAGATATTTAAGTATAAGTTCTAATGTCGTATATCATTATTCTTATTGCAGCATTATTTTTTATAGTTTTTTTTTTTTTTTTTAAATTGAAATCCATAGTCCAGAAGGTGTAGAACTCATTCTCAAAGTCACATGTGTGAATGATTAGTTGGTTTGATGATCAATGAATTGAGAATAAGAAACTACTAGATACTCTTTTCTGTGAAACTAATCTGATCAGCCAGAAATTTAATAGTGAAGATAACTGAACACAACCCCACAAAGAAATTAATGAGACCCTGACATGAAAGTTATAGGGATTTTTTTAAATGAAACCTATTTCGAGGGAGATTAATATTGAAATTTTTAGTTTTGTAGGAACCCCAAGTCTTATCAGTATCCTCATCACACTCTTGCATTTAATGACCCATCACATGATTCCAAGCTTCCTTTTCTGTCTTCGACAATAAAACAACAACAACAACAGCTCTCTTTTCATTGTGTTTGTGTGTTGGTTTCTCTACCTTTTTCTTTTTCTAACTAAATTTTGGAAAATAAGAACCCACTTTTGTCATCTAATTTGCAAATTTTATGCTCAAAATTTGAGCTAATAGGCATAATATCAAGATCATCATGATCAAAATGATTTTGACTGGTGCATGTATGAGCAATTATCAGTCACTGTGGGCCATCCTATGGCCTCTCTAATGATAATATCGACACTGTTTTTTTCAAAAACCTAAGCTCTAGGGAGGTGAGACCATGTAAACAAGGGAAAGAAGCTTGTTGTTGTTTGGATTCTGTGAAAAATTTTAAATATTTAGGAAGAAAAAACAGACATCTTCACCACCTTAGAAGGAAAAACATGAGACCTTCGATGCATGTGTGCATTAAATGAGCTTCGTAGCTATGAATTTGGTTCATTTTCGAGATGCATAATTTTCTTTCTTTCTTTCTTTCTTTCGGTTTTTTTTATGTCATGATTCGGTCGTAAATTAATGTTGATTGTCTTTTAACATTGGTAATCTCACTGTTGGGGTTGGGGTATTGTGCAATGTTAATCTCTCCCCACCTTGCCCCCTTTGCATTTGTTCCTTCTTCAATTCTTTCTATATTACTTTGCTTAAGCTGTTTCTTTATACTCCAAATACTAATTAACCTATGTAAGATAAACAACAATACTATGAAAATTTAGTATATTAAGCATTAAGATTCGATTCGATTCGATTCTCTTCTCTTTTCTTTTTTTACATAAACGAAACGAAGCACTGTTCATTTATAAATATGAAAAAAAAGATTATGTATTATCGTACATTGGTAGCCATATCATCGTAGCTTACGTATTTCACACAGTGAAATCATCACCCATGAAGTGCAAAAAGAAATCAATAAGAACAAGATTAGGCATGCAAACTACTCTACTCACTATTTTTTTTTTCTCTCTTTTTACATGTTTCCGCACTTTCTTTACTTTTTGTTACGGACTTCAACTTCGAAATAATTTTTACCGAGATTATGGTAATCTTTACTGAATATAAATTTTAAGATAAGATCCAAAATCATAGTAATGTAGGATATTTATCTTTTACAATTACACAAAAAAAAAAAAAAAAAAAGAGAAGGTGACTAGGCAAGACAGGTATACATTTTATATTAATTTATTATTAGGCCGAGGCAAAACTCCGTCAACATTTTCAAGCTCCTTCCAAGGATTCTACAAGCCCAATACCATAAGACAAGCAGCAGCTTAGCCCACTTTATTAGAAAGGCTATTTTGTGGTTGGGAAAATAGGCTTGTGCTAAAACCCTAATACCATAAGGTGGGCTAAACTGATGCTAGTCTTATGCTATTAGGCTTTTAGCACAAGCCCATTTTTCCACTATAAAATAACCTCATCAAAACAATGTTCGGTCCATTTCAAGTTTTAAAATCAAATGGGCCCAAATGGATTATTCTTCAAAAAGGAACAAAATAAGATCAGCATATAACAAACCCACAAGTGATTTAATTTTATACAAAAAAAAAATGAAATTGATATATATTTTAGTTTTTAATTAGTTTTTAGGGTTTCAATCACCTTTTTTTTAAAAATAATCCTACAGATTTTTCTATGCATTTATGGATATTTTAATATCAATAATCTAAGTTTTTAGGTCACGACTCACTTTATCTTATGCTATTACTGTTACACAACGAAATAGAGTGAAAGATGACCACATAAACAGCGAATAAAATCTCAATCAATTATGTTTGTTTGACAGTAATAAATTTATAATGAAATAAATATGATGATAATATTTTATTAATAAATAAATTATTATAATTTATGCATACTTATTTTAAAAAATTGATATTTATTTATTAATAAATTATTATTATTTGATTTATTAATAATATATATAATTTATATGTTGAGAATGTATTAAATACAAATTTTAGTTAAAATTTTGCAATAATTCCTTTCCTTCATTAAAGACTCCAAAATTGACAAACATGCCTTTCCATCAACCAACGACTCCAAATTTCCATAAAAGGGAAAAAGGAATTTCTAGAACTCTAGAAAAGTACTTGTTCAACCTTCAAAGTTCAAATTCTACCATGTTTCCTCTCAACCGAAAAAAACGAAAAAATGGTACCAAAATTCCATTTTCTTTGTCTGCTACACAGCTGGAAAGACATGGGCTACTTTGATTCTTGCGTATCTTTTTAGGATCACATATTCCCTCAAAAGGTCCCGAAAACACAAGATATCTCCAAACAAACCACGAGCCTGCCACGCTCCCACGTTCAACCTCCTCATCTTCATCGTCCACGTGTCGTTATCATGGTGCCACCCTTTTTATTGGCCTCCCCTATCGTCATCTCCTTCACTTAGTCACTCAAACACCCTACAGGTTTGCTAAAGCCTCTGTTTTCCTTTACCCTTTTCATCAAAAGCTTCGTTTTATTTCCTTTTGAGCCATGTTGTTGAAAGCTGCTACAGCTTTTTCTTTGTTAAATCCTCTAGTGGAAAATCAGGGTCCTTCCCTGTTTTCCTCTGTTTCTTCATCTCAAATCTATCCTGCTTCAATTCTTCGACTTTCTTCTCCAAGAAATGGAACTGGGTCTGTTGTAGTTTGTGCAACCAAAGGAGCCAACAATAAGCCACTAACTGGTGTCGTTTTCGAGCCCTTTGAGGAAGTGAAAAAGGAGCTTGATCTGGTCCCTACTGTGCCTCAGGTTTCTTTGGCTCGACAAAAGTTTACTGACGAGTGTGAAGCTGCTATCAATCAACAAATCAAGTGGGTTCTTTTTCTTTTCGATTTGAAGTCAACTCTCTATTAAAAAAGGTTTCTTTATTTCTTTTTTTACATTCTTTGATGGTGTCATCTTTAAGATTCTTGAAAAAGATGGTTCTTTTATGTCTTGATCTGCTTATTTATGTGAGGAAATCTTTACTTCTTTTGGAAACTAGGAATTAGCCTCAAGATTCTTTATTTTTTCTTTTAAAGAATGAACTTTGCAATGGATTTGTGGATATGTGTTTAATTTTTATATTTGTTTCTTTGTAATAATGAATTTGGGCTTATGTCTGATGGCTATAGTTTTAAGTGATGAGTTTCTGAGTTTGCTGTGTTTTACTTTGTTACACTATTTGTATTTGTACATCTTATGTTCTAATGTTCTGTGCATTTCTTTTGGTATGACAGTGTCGAATACAATGTCTCCTATGTGTATCATGCTATGTTTGCCTACTTCGATAGGGACAACGTTGCACTCAAGGGTCTTGCCAAGTAATTCTTCTTGAAAATTCTTGATTTTGCTGAACATTTTGGTACGCTTTTTTTGTGTTGAGCTAATTTGTTTCTTTCCTTTGAATAGGTTCTTCAAGGAATCGAGTTTAGAAGAGAGAGAGCATGCTGAGAAACTGATGGAATACCAGGTTTTTGATCTATGCCATTTATTGCTTATTGTTGTTATTCTTTTTCACTTCAATCTGATTTCTTTGTCTCTATGATTTGTTTTCCTGATTCACATTCGTTTATTATAATCAGAACAAACGAGGTGGGAAAGTGAAACTTCAGTCCATATTGATGCCGCTTTCTGAGTTCGATCATGCAGAGAAAGGAGATGCATTGTATGGTGAGTTGAAATTATTAGAGCTAGACTTGTGATTGGTTTGGTAAAATGTGTTTCATTTCTTATTTCGTTGTCTTCTTGGTTTGTTTCCCTTCAGATGATATATATCCTCATGAACAAAACGATGAGATATAGATTCATGATGCAGCTATGGAAATATGTTTGTAAATTTGTATGGTTGGTGCGTTTATATATTAGAAATCTAGACAAGGAAGAGATAATCTTCAACATTCACCTGATATTCACTTCGTGGAGCATTTTGGATTGTGTGTGATATATCATCCCATCATCTTTCTTAATGCTGAATTGGACTGCATGATAATGTCAAATAAGTCAAAAGTACAAAAAATGTGCTTTAGGTGTTAGTATGGTATATGTGGTTGAAGCTAATTGTATCTGATGCCTTGGTTCAGCAATGGAACTTGCCTTGTCCCTGGAGAAACTAACAAATGAAAAGCTCTTTAACTTGCATAGAGTAAGATTTCCCTCTCTCTCCCTTCTTGCTATCCTGTTTTTCTGTTTGCGATTTTGACTTTTGATTTTTAACGTATTAATAAGGTCTAAGGTCTATACACTTGATGATTAAGATAGAACCATGTGAAACACCCGTGTTATTTTACGATATTGAAGTTTCTAAGATGATAGCAAACAATTTTCTTTGAACTAATGGTCAAGGCTTTGATAAACAGGTGGCTGACCAGAAACATGATGTGCAGTTGACAGATTTCATTGATAGAGAATTCTTAGCTGAGCAGGTAAAATACAAAATTGGTGTCTATAATCTTAGAAATTTTGCTTTTCACAGATATGTGCCGTAACAGCAAAAACAGTTTCTCATTGTTTTGATCCTGGCTTGCTTTCTCTGTAGGTGGAGGCCATCAAGAAAATATCAGAATATGTGGCTCAGTTGAGAAGAGTTGGCAAAGGACATGGTATGAATCTAAACTTCTCTTTATTTCGTTTATGCTACCATGATTTCGACTTGGTCATGTATTTTTTCATGCCTTATGTGTTCCTTCTTCGGTGGATATTCAGGTGTTTGGCACTTTGATCAGATGCTTCTCCATGAGGGAGAGGAAGCTATTGCATGAAACCATGACTTGCTGCTTGGTTGGATATCAGAGGATATCAGAGGTTGTTCTGTAAGGTCTTGTGTCAGTAGTTCCTTATTGAGAGATTTTGGTTTAGTTACTAAGTTGTATAACTAGTGCGTAAACTGTGTTGATGATGAGAGATCATAAGGAATATTTCAAGTCCTCTTAATCAAAGTAGTTATACATGGATTTCCTATCCTGGTATTTTCTCCAAGATTTATTTTAACTCTTTTTCATGCACCCTAGCAAACATTTATGACTGTTTTCTTTGTTTTCAATCCTGCGCCATTAGTATTAAGCTAAAAGCAAATGGATTGATAATGAGTGGAGAAGCTAAGTAGTCATAATTTGAACCTTCCTTGTGTTTTAGTGTCCATTTACTAGTTATCAGTTGAAGTCGTCAGTTTGTTGGTGGTGTTTCATATCTATGATAAATTCTCTTAGAGTTGCTTTAACAATATCAAATCATTCTCAGAGATGAGAAGGCTCAGAGAGATCAAATCAAGAAAAAGTCTTTCCATTGGAAATTGACCTCTTTTGCTGCCCCCTGAACCTTCTGCTGTATATGGTTCAAAATTTTAGTGCAAACTATATACTATTAAATCAAAAAATATATTTTGTGTCAGTACCGATACAAATTGTAATATTGTAATATATAATTTTTATATAAAATATAATACGAATATATGAATTATCATTATTATACATAATTACGATACATGAATTGTGTAATTTATTATTTTATATAATATGAACACCAACAATTTCTTCGGTGGATATCAATTTTTTTTACAGTTTCTGTTTAATCAAATCGGGTTTGGGCTGAATGGATTATCCCTTTTTTGGTCATTCCTGCTTAAAGATCCGGTAAAACGGCTAAGATTGTGAGCCCATAAAGCAAACCCATTATCTCATTCAGACCCAACAAACTGACTCATTTAGTCATAACAGCTAAACCTGTTCAGGCCACAAAATCCCTTCTTAATTACCTCTGTGGACCCTTAATAAGGGATACAATGACCCAAAGAGAAGCCTGGGGGTGTATCCCTAGTATAAGGCCAGTAATGGCCCACCATAGAAATCCACATCCCAACAAAATTTTCAAACTGCCACGTGGATGTTTTGCCCTTTTTACCGACCCAGAAGGGAAGTTACTCCACGTGTCGTTTTTCCATGGGCAGAATAGCGTTAGAGTTACGCGGCAAAATGAAAAAGATAGGAACCGCTGCGCCAGTTTTAACAACACTCTGATCAAAACCGTTGAAAATATGGTCAAAACTAATTAACCCCAATGTATTCTATATCAACGTCTAGAAATCGCTCAGTTGCTTCATTACAATACTGCGCAAAGCACGGAATCAGCAGCGGCAGTTCCAGTCCAACGTGAAGCAAAGCGGAAACCCAAACACTCCCTAGCTGCCGGAGAAGATGGCTATGGTAGCCGCTATTTTGATGATCGTTTTAACGTTATTTTCAAATTCCAAAGCCGATCAAGATTTCGATGTTCGTCAACACCTCTCTACTGTAACAAGGTCTAGTTCTCTTTCGCTCTTCGTTGAATCGAAATTTAATTATCTTTATTAAAGTTTAAATTTGAAATTTTTGCATCAGTTTTATCTTTTTTTTTATATAAATTTTTAGCAGATATGGTGAAGTGAAAGATATTGTTGACAATTCGTTTCTACCCTCTTATATCCCTGATGGATGTACTCCTATCCACTTAAATCTCGTGGTAATTTTATTTTATTTTCATGAAATTTGAATTTTTAATATCTTTGATAGCTAGAAATATTGTTGAATTAAAAAAAAAATCATGTTAGTTTTGGTGATATCATAGTACAATTTTTTATGGGAAACTTTGTATAAGGGTGAAATTTGCAAACTACCAAAGTTTGATTATTGATGCATGGAAAAAAGTTGGATAAGTGTTGTGCAATGTTTCAGATTGTTAGCTTTATTGGATATCTTGAAGATTTTCTTACTCTTTGAAAGGCGTAATGTTGAAGTTAATGTGTTACATTTTGTGTCCAAATCATAGTATCAAGTGATTAGGTTGCTTGTTACTTACTGAATTGTTGTTTGAGAATTATCAGTTTTCAGCCTTTTTTTTTTTTTTTTTGTTATTTGTTATTGAGATTTTTCATGTGGTTATGTGTTTCTTGTTGAATGCCCAAACTTCGTTGTCAAGAGATTAAAACTAAAATGGAGATTAATCCAAATTCAAATTTTTAGGCCAGACATGGAACTCGTTCTCCTACTAAGAAGAGGATGACAGAATTGGAAACGTTGGCTTCTCATATAAAGGAACTTCTAAAAGATGCCAAAGAAAAGAATTTGTCCCTACAGAAAGTCCCTGCCTGTTTACAGAAATGGGAATCTCCTTGGAAAGGAAAATTGGAGGGTGGAGAATTGGATAGCAAAGGAGAAGAGGAAATGTATCAGCTTGGTATCAGGGTTAGGGAAAGATTTCCTGATATATTTAATGAGGAATACCACCCCGATGTGTATCCCATAAAGACTACTCAGGTCAGTTCTATGTTTGAAATTTTATCTTCTATGATATAAATGCTTTATTCAGAGATTTCCTTCAACATGATTCCACGGTATTTTTTCTTTGTTTTGGAATTTCTGAAATAATATATGGATGCTACTCCACACTCACTTTTTCTTTATCCCCATATTCATTCTTGAATAATGCCAATTTTCATTACTTCTGATTTTGATTCCAGCTCTGAAGCTGGCCTAATTATATATTTATTTTTCTTGATTTATTTAGAACTCATGTGTATTTCTTGCTCATTTTGTTGGAAAGGTTCCTCAGGCTTCTGCTGGTGCTGTTGCATTTGGCATGGGGCTATTTAGTGGCAAAGGAAGTCTGGGACCAGGGTGTCATCGAGCTTTTGCTGTTACAAGTGAAAGTCGTGCAAGTGACATAATCCTGAGGTTTTTCGATTGTTGTCAGACCTACAAGGTATGGATGATGTTGATTCCTTATTACTCAAGCACCAACATGAGTATAGTTCATACATTTAAGCCTTTCTAGGTTTTTTCATATCTCTATGATGATATTCACTTTGGCTACTTCAATTTTGAAAAGTTTGACGTAAGAAAGTTATCTAAGATTGTTAAGTTGGTCAAATATTCATTCTATTGTATTCCTAATCATTTTCTTACATTTTGTACATAATGTGTACCTTCATCTCTTAGACTAATCTAACCTTCAAATTTTGAATAATGATTCATTTGTGCTGTAATTTAATTGGTTTGCCTTTTTGTTTGCATATTTAAAAGGGATATATGAATGCAGGACTTTGGGAAAAATGAAGAGCCTGCTGTTGATAAGCTAAAAGAACCAATCCTCGCCAAGATTACCTCTTCTTTAACAAAGTGATATGAGTTCAATTTCACAAGACAGGATATATCCTCTCTCTGGTTTGTGTGTAAACAGGCAGTCATCTTCTTTTCATGCAAATTTCATAGTTCATTCCCTGTTCAAAATCAGACACTTCTAGTATTCTATCAATTCAATTTTTTCTTTATATTTTTGGTTCTGTTGGATTTTATATATGGCAGGAAACATCTTTGTTGGATATAGTTGATCAAGCTTGCAGTCTTTTCAGTCCCACTGAGGTATTTTCATGCTTTATTACTTTTTTTGAAGAAAGGAATTTTGTTGGAGTTAGGATTTATTCATTTGAAAGATTCAGGATAGTTTCTATACACATCTCATCACTTTTCATATTGAAAATACCCTAAGTATGTAGGGCCCTAACCATTTTTCCAGAATATAGGTATTTTCTCAAAAACATTGATTCTACTATTGCTTTCTAAAAGTATAAACCATCTTTGATTGTAGATGATATAAGTTTTTTTTTTTTTTTTACCATCTTTGAATATTTAATCTAATATATGTAAATTATTGATCTCCATATGTATGAATACATAGAAGAAAATGCCTTCATTACGATAAATGTGTTGTTAGTTTAGATTATTTTGTCTTTGTTCCTTAAGTAAATATTCATATCAATATTATCAGGAAAAGTGAAACCAGATCTTTAATTTGAGGAATATGCTTCCCATGATTCATTCCTTCTATCTGTCATGCTAATTCAGCTGTATACTTTAATTAATCTTGTTATCTTCCATGCTTTATGGTTTTCACCTGAAAAAGCTGTCTAAATATTTAGGTTGCTTTGCTGGAGTGGACGGATGATTCAGAACTGTTTATATTAAAGGGCTATGGTAAATCCTTAAATTATAGAATGGGAGTGCCTTTGCTTAAAGATGTTGTGCAATCCATGGACCAAGCCATCAAGGCTAAAAAAGGTAATATTAGGAAGAGGTTGTAGCTGTTTAGTCTTTATGTGTCAAGGAGCAAGGAATATTTAGAAATGATTATCCCTGAATTGCCTATAAATTGTTCTCCTGTAGTGATGCTGTTCTGTGTTGTAATTAGGAACTACAGACTAGGGTTGGCAAGGGCAGAATAATTTGCATTTGCAACTAGTATGTTATACCATCTGAGCATATGCATAATTGATTTCTTCTGTCCATAGCTTTTTCTTTACAAGTTTTTGTTCTAGAGAATAAAGTAGGTGAAAAAAATCAGAACGTTTTTATTGTTGCCATTGTTACCTTTTATTAGCATAGTTTCTTGAGAGCTTGCTGAACCTAAAATAGATAAGATATATTTTTTTGTGATTATGATTAGTGATATACAAGGCAAAAGGTTGTTTTTTTTTTTTTTTTTTTTTGGCAAGGCAAAAGGTTGTTTGGTAATGGCTTTTTCTCAACTTTGACTTCCAATTGTTTCCCTTCTTATGTGTAGATAACCAAGCCCCTGGCAGTTATGAGAAGGCAAGACTGCGTATTGCACATGCAGAAACTGTGGTTTCTTTTTCATGTTTGCTTGGGCTTTTCCTTGAAGGCTCTGGTCAATGCTTTCAGCCTTTTATCACAGCATCTTTGATATCTTTTTATACTAAAAGTATTTATAAGCATGATTATGTGCATCTGTGTAGGCTCTTTGTTATATGCTGATATTTGGAGTTTATTTAAAAATTGCAGACTTTCAATGAATACAGAAGGAGGAGCCTTTGACTCTCCCTCAGCCTCCCCAGAACAGAAAGTGGAGAGGCAGCACTGTGGCACCTTTTGCTGGGCATAATATGCTGGTCTTATACAGGTGTCCGGCTAATTCTTCAAGCAAATACTTCATGCATGTCCTACACAATGAGCATCCCATCCCAATACCTGTAAGTTATTCTTTGACTACTTTGTTTCTTCTATTAGTCTTTCAGTTATACCAGCAAAAGGGAACAGTTGTCACCTTCAATGGGCAAGAGTGATGATCACGTTAAAAATCTTAGTGAATCTCGCGTTCACCTGCCTGAAATCTTTCTAATTATAGTTTTTACCTTTTTTCTTGTTTCTTAGTGCTTAGAACTTGTAGTTTTGCATGCTACACTATTATAAGGTTTGATGCTGATATTACTTTTTTTATAAATAGGGTTGTAATGGTACTGACTTCTGTCCATTTGAAGTTTTCAAGGTACTATAACCATCCATCTTCAATGTTTTTGAAAATAATGACTTCACTCCTAACAGTAACAATTTTCATCACGTTTTTAGGAGAGAATTGTCGAACCTCATTTAAAGCACGATTACAATACCCTTTGCAATGTCAATTTTGATCAGCCAAAGTAGAAGCCTGAATCCTGTAAGCTATCACAACTATTCAGTTGGCTCTTTGGGCTGGGGAATGATGATAAAACATCCCACAGAGTTGAATTGTAGTCTGCTTTGCAAGAAGAAGGTATAATTCTTACCCTTTTCCTTGTTCCCAAAGAGTTGATTTGAATCTTGCCTTACGATTGTATCAGAGATTGTCCCAACATTAGAGCCAATGATAAAGCTGATCTGATTCGCCTTTATTGTTCTAATATTGTACTATTGCTTTGCACTGAAATAGAACACTTTGATTTTATTCAGTGCAGTGAAATCTATGATATACATTGGTGAATACTATATTATATAAACATGTTGCTTTAGCTTCATGTACTGGTATGCTGGAGGTATCATCTTTCTCTCTTCAGATCATGCAGTGAGCTGAATGTTAGGTTAAATCCGGCATGGATCAAGTGTGACTGTCGACCAAGAACACTCTGAGAGAAATGCTTAGCAGAAAGTTGTTCTAATGGCATTCTTGTAGCCATTGTTACAAGGTTGAATGGTTAAGAATGAGAAATATACTGAATTTACCCTCAGAGCCTCGGCCTTCAAGCTCACGCCATTCCTGAACCATTGCGCAACAGCAGCAAATGAGATCGCGCAACCCTTGAAACTGAAAATTAAGTAAGAAATGCCTAAACAAGAAGGAAGATATCTTAGTAAAGAACAAAACAAAATGTGATTTTCAACGGGATTTTAGAGCTGTTTGTATATAGGAATTAGGAACAAAGCAAAAGAGACGTGATCAAATTGCCCTCTTATTAGTTAGTCATAATCCATCTCTTAAGAAGAAATGAGGATATACTTATTAAAAACAACAAAGCCCGTCTAGCTCAGTCGGTAGAGCGCAAGGCTCTTAACCTTGTGGTCGTGGGTTCGAGCCCCACGGTGGGCGTTTTTCTGCTTTCTAGAGAAGTCTTTGTGGACCAAAATCTAATGGACAAAGAGGTCCATTAGCCCAATTAAGGCCGAATTACATTTTTTTTTTCTTTTTCAATTCTGTTAAAAAAAAAAAAAACAGCGAGCCAAGTAAAGTCAACGACTCACAGTGGGAACAAAACAAACGACTCCCGCAGCTAAACATCCACCTTTCATTTCAATGATCTAAAGACTTCACTTCCTCAGCTGATATTTTCACTCTCTCCCTCTCCCTTCTCTCCAATCCAAACAATAGAAAAGAGAAGAAATGCCGATTTCCGTTCCCAACCTCTTCAAAGAACGAAAATATCCTTTCCTTTTCGCTCTTTCAATTCTCCTCATTTCCTTCACTATCCTCATTTTATCCAACTCTTCCCCTTTCCCTTTCCCTTCCCTCCCTCTCTCCTCTGATTTCCACATCTCCCGATTTCAACCTCCTCCTCCACCTCCTCGTCCTCCTCCTCCTCCCCGTCTTCTTCACGATCTCAAAACGACACCGTTCGATCCCCGCCAAAACCGGAGTCCGGAAACGACGTTGCAGATGACGTGGACTTGAATGTGAGTTTGAATATAAAATGGAAGAACTGTAAACTAGGTGCGGCGGCGGTGGATTATATACCGTGTTTGGATAATTGGAAAGCGATAAAGGAATTGAAATCGAGGAAACACATGGAGCATAGGGAAAGGCATTGCCCGAATCCCGAGTCCGAGATGTTTGGTGCCTTTGCCGACCGGTTATAAGGTTCCGGTTCAATGGCCTAAGAGCAGGGACATGGTGAGCTTGAGCTTGTTTGATACTACTACTACTTTTTATTTTTGGTAAGATATTTGTTTTATTTTTTATGTGTCTAATTGATTTTTTTTTAGTTGATAGGAGAAGAATACGATATGATGGTTTAAAATTTTAGTAATAGCTATACATTGGTTAAACAAAATAAAAAAAAATGTATTTCATATTTTTGTGTTAAAATGAATTGTGGGACCTAATTTTTGTGTTTACTAAGCATGAATAGACGAATTTCAATATTTTACGTGACACAAATCCATAAATCGGACTAATTTTTATGATACTAATCATAAAAATTTTCAGTTCTTTAATGCTAATTTTGAATTTACTGAATTTAAACTTGCTGAATTACTAATATTATGTATGTGAGGTTTGAAGTGCAAAAAATTGAAGCCTGATATTCATTAGGGAGAGATTTTGGGAAACTGGGTGCTAAAAGTTATAGTATGAAATACCTTTTTCATGTCTAAACAATTCTAATGCTGTTTTTTACTTGGTAAATATTACTGTGATGTGACTTATTCTTGCTCGTGTACAGATTTGGTATGGCAATGTTCCTCATCCTAAGCTTGTGGAATACAAGAAGGAACAGAATTGGGTGCGTAAATCTGGTGATTATTTCATTTTCCCTGGAGGTGGTACTCAATTTAAGAATGGGGTTACTGGCTATATTGATTTCATAAAAAAGGTAGGAACTGGATTTTCTAATCCTTTTGCAAATTAACACTATTACTGATTTGTTCATCAAATTTGGTCTGCACTGGTTGAAGATTAGAACCCAAAAATACTTGTGTTACTTTCTGCTGAGCCTCCTTTCCTTCCTTTCCCTTCTGGTTTTTCCCTCCAGACTTTGCCAGCTATTAAATGGGGGAAGCACATTAGGGTTATTTTAGATGTCGGCTGTGGTGTTGCCAGCTTTGGTGGTTATTTGCTGGACAAAGATGTAATTACCATGTCGTTTGCCCCGAAGGATGAACATGAAGCTCAGATACAGTTTGCTCTAGAGAGGGGAATTCCTGCTACACTTTCTGTCATTGGTACACAAAAGCTGACATTTCCTGACAATGCATATGATATGATACATTGCGCACGATGCAGAGTTCATTGGGATGGTGATGGTATGGTGTCTTTTATTAATTCCTTTCAGCATATGTTTGACCATGCTGTTATATTTATGTTCATTGTTTCTATTTTCCTTTTTAGCATATCCTGGAATTGTTGAGACTTTTTTGCTGCTTTTGAATTCAAGGTGGGAAACCATTATTGGAGCTGAACAGGATTCTTAGGCCAGGAGGATTCTTTATATGGTCTGCTACACCAGTTTATCGGGATGATGAGAAAGATCAAAATATTTGGAAGTGTAAGGATACCACTCTCTTTTTTTCATGGGGGGGGAAGTACAAAATTGTTTTCCCTTCTTTACATTTTCCTTGTTTACTTGTTTTATCTCTGCCATGATTAGCCATCTCATTTATTTCTTTGCACCATTTAATTGTTAGAGTCTGAATGTGCTAAGTTGGCTTGATATTCTGTATATATTTCAGCTATGGTGACATTGACAGCATCCATGTGTTGGGAGGTTGTGGCTAAAACTGTTCATTCATCTGGAATTGGGCTTGTAATATATCAAAAGCCTTCCTCGTATTCCTGTTATGAGCAACGCAAAGAAAAACATCCACCCTTGTGTGATCAGAAAAATAAGCAGAATGTCTCATGGTAATCTTTTAGGTGTATTATCTACACCTTAAATTGCATACACTCAAAGACATGCTTGAATATGTGCACAGATGCGCTATGTTATCTTCCACTTCTTATGTCTTGGCTGGGCAATTTAAACGAGTCCTAAAATAATGTTGGTATATTTGGTCTTAGCCTCCATTTTATTTGACTGCTTGTGATGATGTCTATTCACTGTGACAGGTATGAACCTCTTAGTTATTGTATTTCAAGACTTCCAGTTGATAGCATGGGTAATTTGCTCAGCTGGCCCACACCGTGGCCCCAGAGGCTTAGCAGTAAGCCTCCAAGCCTTCCATCTAAACCAGATGCTGAAGATATATTCAATGAGGACACTAAACATTGGGCAGCACTTGTATCAGATGTGTATCTTGATGGTCTAGCTATAAACTGGTCAAGGATAAGAAATGTGGTGGATATGAATGCCGGTTATGGAGGGTAAGAAATATATCAAGTTGCTTAAATTTTTTCTGTCAAAAACAAAAAATTGCTTGATGTTTAATCCTGAGTTTCATTATTGCATTGGGTTTTATTGCATGCCTGCCACTTCTCACTTCTCTGTGGTTTTTCTCGTTTACTTTCTAACCCCAAATGTATTAATCTTCAAATTAAAATAATAATATTAATCTTGTTTTGAATTTAGTTATCAAGAAGTAAACCTCCAACAAAATATGATTGCTCTGATGGAAGACCAAATAGTATACTTTTGTATGGTTGAAGTTCTTATGGTAGTTGCTTTAATTATAAAAACTAATTTACATAATACATGATTAAGAAGTTCCCTCAATTCGAGTTTTCAACTGATTGTTAACCTTTAATTTCCTTCACTTTGTCATCTCACTCGTTCTTTGCATAATCCTTAATCTCCTAGGGCCGATATACCGTTTCACTCTCGTGAGAGGAGAGAAAGTGTTTTGGAAGAGTTCTTATGGTACCTTAAATTGATTATGACGTATGAAATGGTACTGTTTTTGCCAATATGTTCTCTCATCCAGTTGTTTCATTTCCATTGCTATCTGATCTATCAAGCTAAACTTTCTCTTGTAAAGAATTCTCACAACAATATTGAATTGTGGTTTACAGATTTGCTGCGGCACTCAATGAGCTGCCTATCTGGGTGATGAATGTTGTACAAATTGATGCAGAAGATACCTTGTCCATTATTTTTGAAAGGGGGTTGATTGGAGTCTATCATGACTGGTGCGAGTCTTTTAATACTTACCCACGAACATATGATCTACTGCATTCCAGTTTTCTCTTCAGAAACCTTAAAGAGAGGTATGCTATTGCGATACCTAAAAGTAATGATCTAAATATTTTTATGGTTTATTGCTGATTTTTACTTCGGGTAGTAAAAAATGACAAATAGATGACTGAAGCCTGCTACTGCATTATCCTTATAATTTTGAATGTTAGAATTTAGGGTTGAATGGTGATCTTAGATTTTGCACTTCTGTCAGATGTGACATTATAGATGTAGCTGTGGAAATGGATCGCATACTGAGACCTGGTGGATATCTCTTGGTCCAAGACACCATGGAATCGATTAAAAACCTCAATCCAGTACTGCGTTCACTTCACTGGTCAACAAGCCTTTATCAAGGCCAATTTCTTGTTGGCCAGAAGGGTTTCTGGCGTCCAAGTGAATGACTAAATTAAAAAAAAAAAAAGCATGCACAGTTACCAAGGTTCTTCCACTGCCAATTTGTTCCGGATGAAGATTGCACTTTAACCATTTGAAAAGAAGGATTATCTGTGGCTTCTGCCGTGATATCCGAGTTACCTTTTGCCCTATTTCTGTCATGAATTTCTTTCCCTTAGATTGCCATTTTGTGTACATCCTATAGAAAGGGATGGGTGCTTATGGCATAAAATAGCCTATCTACCAATTCAAATATCTGAGTTTGCTTGGCCATAAAGAACACGTCTATAGAGGTTTTGGACGGTTTATTATACAGTTGGAGAGGAAAAGCTACGGCATATGTTTGTGCCTCGTCCACATTTTTTTTTTGCCTGATTTAAAAATCCGGAAGCCCACAGATTCTGACAATTTAAGTGAATTTAATGAAGTTTCCAATGAAAGCTGGTACATTTTTTTGGAATTTTCCAGTGCACTTGTCAGCATGGTTTCTTTCTTGCTTGCATAATTTTTTCTTCAGCTTGAATCTACGATAGTTTGATTCATTGTATCAGTGCCTCTTACCATCTATGGAAATTGGAATGCAGTAAAATGGAATGCACAGAAAATTACTAGCGGTAAATACAAATGATGCCACTAACCATACATTAGAGTTTATAGAAGCTGAAGCTGACACAAATTCATACAGAGCAAATATCATTTGGAATGTTCGAAACAATCGGATCATGCACAGGGGAAAAAGGGAACAACTGAAACTACGTAGAAGATGCACAAGAAAAGGTCGTATTGTCGCCGATGAGCTTGCCGTTGTATGCCAAAACAGTCCGGGAATAGCAACCAAAATCATCCCTGTAATTATACCTCTGCCAAGTGCTTGCTTCGCCGGAGAGAACAGAATGACCCCTAACCTTCATCCATCCTTCCGAATTCTGCCTATTGTAAAGAATACTCCAATAGTCCCCATTGATTCGCCTCTCATTCAAAGCATGAGAAACGTTGGTGATCAGCATATACATATCCTCTTTCTTCGACCCCAAGGAATCCTTCTGAGGCAATGGAACAGTAGATGTAATCACAGTAAGAGGATACCTCCTTCGAGTAACGGCACGACCAACCAAATTACCCGAATCAGCTCTAATCCTTGAATCCCTCTTTGCCTTAACCATCTGTTTGACAACCTTATAAGTTCCATTGAAATAAAACCTTATCAAATTAATCACCCTAAACTCCTGGGAAACGATGGTGGTGAAATTACCAGCTTTGGATTTAACCCACCCGGCAAACTCACTTTTCCTCTTAGCTTTAATCCTAAATGACCCATCAAGCAATCTAAAAGCCTCTTGACGTTCAATGGTAAGAGCAGGATTGTTATAAACAACAGATTTTGCTTTAACTTTTGAAGTTCCATGATCTAACCAAATATGTAAATTTGCATTCACAAGCCAAAACGATATCGCATCATCAACACCAATCCGAATATCATGAAATTTCCCATCCAATAACCATCCCAAGAATGGGGTTAAATCCAAATCATAGCTTGGCAAATTGAAATCCCCAATTGCCACGATCGGTTCCCAAAATAACGGATTAATCCCACCTGTAAAAACCACCGGAAAAACCAACTCGGACCCCACGAATTTCCCGTCAATTGTCACGAAAACTTCCCTATACGCGCCATTCCCACGCCCAGTAGTCAAATTATTCAATCGGATATAAGAATTCGGCGGATTTGAATACCAAAACTCGTCGTTCCCATGAAACGATGCGTATAATTCCAAAACGACTTGGAGGGTATTCTTGGGAAATCGAACTCTTTTTACGTGAACGTCCGATTCGCTTTCCACTTTAAACCAATACCCTCTCTTCCCGTCGTCGCAAATCGGGATTATTAAATCCGACGGCGTTTTGAAAAATCCCAAATCAGAAGTAACCAACTCGTAATTATTTTTATTTGGGGAAATAATTGACGGAAACCTAACGCCGTTAGGGCTAATGTTTTCTTTGTAAAACAGAAATGATACATGAACGTCGTAAACGCCGGTGTAAATGTTATTAACGACGTTTTCAAGCATCATGGTGACGTTAATTTTGTGTTCATAAAGAAGAGAAGAGTACCTAGTGATATCCTTTCGAACTCTCCAGAAGATTCCGGATTCCGTCGGCTCCGCTGTGCTGGTTCGGAATATCTCGGCACCATCAAGCCAAATGGCGGCGATGCGATCGTACTGGTCTCCAGAGGAGGAGACGCGGAGTTCGAGGACGACACGTGGCCATGGTGGAGGGCAATCGGAAGGTGGAGAGTAAGGGGTGGAGAAAGGAGGGGAGTTGATCGTGTTGGCGAATGAATGGTGTATGATGGTGAGAGAACATGACGGAGTCAGGTGATCGGACGGTAGAGGATTCGTCAACTCGAAGAATTCTTGGGCTTCGGGCGTTGGCTTCGGGGACTTTAAAGTTTTAAGGAAATGATCCGGTGCGGTGGAGGTGGGTACTGTTCTGACGAGGAAGAGAAAGAAGAGAACATAAGCAGAGTAATAGTAGCCCATTTTTCTTTTCGAAAATTTCAGCTTCTTCCGGCCAAAATTTAAAAAAGAATAAATTATATTATAAAGTTTAGCTTCATTGTCAAGATGGCAAGTTGCAAGGCCCACCGTTCATCACTGTTTGGGCAATTCCATTAATGAAGTTAAAAGAAAAAGACATAAGCTTCAAATTTATCATTTTATTTGAGGCAATGATTAAATTTGTTAATCATATTTAATTTTGATGCTTAAATCTCACCATTTATAAGTTTTTTATATGATTTATTCAAGTAATATAACGTAATTATGTCATATATATTTAAAAAATATTTAATTGTGATTGTACTTGTAATTTTTAATATACATTAGTTTTTATATTATTATAATCTGTATGTCATCATCCACACACTGATCTAGGTCAAAGGGTTTTTTACGAATCGACAGTCTCAATTTTAACAGAATAAAATTTGAGTCGTGTGAACCTGAAACTTAAATTTTTGTTGTGCATCATACAAAGCTGTAAAACCTGTTTTCACACAACATTAGAGTAATGGCAGCTAAAGAAGATATGACTCTTAGTCTCATCCTCCTGTTTGCATAGTACATAGCCTTCTTCAATTTTGATCCCCCGTGAGTTCAATCGATCCTTGGTAGGGACTTTGTTTAATATAGCCATCCAACCTATGATTGCATGTTTGGGGACATGAAGCTTGCACCATATCAGGTTGTGCCACACTATCTTTCTCTGTTTCGATCTCAATTCTTCTCATATAGCTGCAATCAAGTTTTCGGTTCTTCCCACGTTCCATCCCACACCTTCCTCTATTTGCACCAAAAATGGAGGGGCAAGTCTCCTCATTTGTAATAGTTTTTTTATGCTCCAACTACTATTTTGTGTAATAGGCACCTCTCATATGTTCCTTCAAGTACACAATTATACATTCATGCAATCCACAATGAACTTGCTTATAAGAAAATAGATTATAAATACCTAATCATGCAAGTTTGATTTCAAATAAACAATTCTTTTAACTTGAGTTTTCTTTTTGATCTAAGCCTACGTAGAGTTTGCCATTTAACCCTTGCCTCTTTAGTTGATTTATGCTACCCTTTTTTGAAATTACCTTAAACTCAAATTACTAACAAATTAATATTTCATATCAATAATTAAGAGATATGTTTTTTTCCATGTGTTGTGCATGTTTCTTACTGTCCATTATTAATTTGAATTTCATCATTATAATATCTAATTTTATTATTATAATAATTAATCTCTTCACTAATCCATTGTTATTAATTTTAATCTCATAATTTATCTAAATATCTAAATATGAACGACCGCTTAAAGTCATGGACAGTTTTAGAAAATCCCAAGTCCTAGCCCAATTTAAATTGTGTTTTCCATTTACTCGACCACTGGTCAAGTTAAAAGGCTCAACCTGTACCTCTTACGCCCATGCCATTGAGCTATCAAACAATAATTTTTGCCCAAAAAAAAGGTTTTTTTTTTTTATATTTTAAAAAAATATCTTATACACCATCTACTAAAAACTCTATCATAAAAATTAAAAAGTTAACACATAAATTTCAAAATATATTTAAAAAATTAATAACTTAATGTAATAAAAAAATAATATCATAATAAAATTTAAAAACTTCACCAATACATGAAAATAATAATCCTATATTCTTTATATTTATTTCTCGACATTTGTGAGATGCCATGCTTTCCTTGGACATTATGCTATTTATTTATTCACAATAGTAAAAATATGATTGTAGAGATTAAATTTATGGTAATAACTAAATTGAGAAAAAAAAAACTATTGCATGCAAAAATATGTACTATCATCAAGTTTATATAGGAATACCAAACTGATTAACAAAACGCACCGTTTCACTGGTTATTCTATTTTATTTTGTATTTCCCCAATCAGTTTCTAGATCCATACAAAAGTAGTACGGAAAATTTTCATACAACTAGATGTGAATTTTAGACTACTCCATTACAGCCATTGCAATCAATTGCATTAAAATAGAGACCCGCGCAAATCGCTTCTCTGCCATTGGCGTCATTATATTCAGGTGCGCACAAATGAAAATAACAACCTCACCAAAACCAAATCAAAACCTCTCTTCGTCTCTCAAAAACGCCATTGACGAAAGTTCTGTTTATCTTTCTTCTTTCTCGATTTTAATTAATTTCTTTTTAAAAGAAAAACAAAATGTTTTCCTCTAGAGAACGCCATTAACGAAGCTTTGTTTTCATGAGTTTGCTCTGTTTCTTTGGATTCGTTCAAAGTTACTCTTTAAAAACAATTCTGACTAAAATTTTTTTGGAAGTATTTCTTTTACGTTCATAAGCTATCTGTTAAATGCCTGTGAAACGTAAATATTTGGAAACGAACTTTCTAGTAATTAAATTGTGATTTAGTCACATTTTTTGACGCGATTTTTATTGATTTTCTTTGAAAATTTGGCTCTAATCTCTCTTTCTGTTTTTATGCTCTGTTTTACTTTCCATCAGTTTGTACTTATTTTCTCTGAAATACGAATTTAATCATTATTTTTAGTTTTTTTTTTTAATTAAACGCTTATATTTTGAAAAAAAAAATAAAGGTTAGGTGAATATTGATGGTTGTTTTTTTACCAACTTTTTGTTAACTGAAGATCTGTTTGGCTTTCTGTAATATAAGCTGGAATAAGTAACTGTCCTCTGTTTTTTTCCGCCTTTTGTTGATTAAGATTGCTTGGAACTATGCAGGCCAAGCTCGATCGAAGGAAGGCTAACAAGCTCGACATAGCTCGACTCTGGTTTCTATTTTCCTTTTCAGTTATTTCAATTTCTTTTTATTGCCTTATTTAATTTGTATTTTAATTTTTAACAGTGAAGAGATTCTAAATCCTCCGGTTCCTTTTGCTCTTCGACTCTCTAGCATCCTCGTGGGTAAACGACGTAGTATTTATTACAGCTGATAAGAACATCACCTTATTTGATTTATTTCAGCCTAATACAAATATTCATGGTCAATTTGAAAGGTAAATTTAAAAGCTTAGTTCCATGGGTGTGCATCTATTGCTGGTAAAGGATTTAGTTAATAATTAGCTATGATGCCTGTAGACTGAATAATTACCTCAATTTTCTAGCTGCTGTGACAGGTTTGAAGAAGCTTACGAGGGAACACAAATAAACTTCACTTTCGAAGAGCAAATACAGATACCAACTACTCCTATTCCTTCTCCAACCCGGCAAGATGGGCCTCAAAGAGGTTAGAGTACTATAATGCCTTAAATGGTCAGAATAGTGCAACTTAAGTCGTGTATACTTGTAGTTTTTGTATGTTTAAGGGAATGATGTAAGAAATCTGGAAAAAGATGATGAAGCTTTCACTTAAAATTTAAATCATTGTGGCGGAACTGCTGAGTAAGATTTGTAGATCAACCATTCTACTTGATTTTAGGTCCAAGTAATGTCGCACATGAAATTTTCTGAACATATATATTCGTCGATAACTGCTGTTCAACATGAATTATCTGACTTAAAATGAGGTCCTCTTATATAAGCCTACTAATTGGCTTTCTGTATTATTAACCATCAAAAGTGGAAAAAATAATATGAAAGTTTTCCTGAAAGTTTTCCTAATGTCAGTATTCTTCCTGTATCATTTATGTTATTTTCCATCTTAGCAAACTAATAACGAGAGTGACTTGATGTTCCTGCTAATATCCTTCAGCCAATAGCAGCATCCAGAGCACCAATTAGATCTACGACTTGATAAAAATAAAGAAGCCAAGGTAAGCATTAATGATTTCACTAAAAATTATGCAAAAAAAAAAAGAAAAATACAGATGAAAATACAACCTTTGCTAATGTTATTCTCCTTGAGAAAGCAGGATCAACGGAGGCAGGGGCCAGTAAAACGGAAAGTGAGAAAAGCCAAAGGAATTATCATAGATGGGGAACAAACTGTTATTCCTAACCATGTATGCCACTCCTAGCGTCATGACACTTCAGATATTGTATCAAGAAAAGGAAGAAAAAAAAGAGTATGCCCTACATATTTGCAATTTATCCCATTTATATCAAGCTTAATTATGTTCCATACCCCGATTAGTTGGTTAGCTACTGAACTAACACCATGAGCGAATATTTGTTACACATTATTTTGAACCACTCATATCAGAAGAGTTCAAGTAAAGGTTTTGTTCTAAGAAAATAATCATTTGAAGAATCATTTTTGTAACATAAGCTTTTTGTACTATAAATGTTGTAGGGGCGCACAAATTTCTTGTCTACCTTGAAGATAGCTAAGCCAATGGAGCTCCCATCTACTGTACTAATGGATGATATGTTTGAGAAAGGAAACCAAGAAATCCCTTATCGAGCACCGCTTTTGGACTTCTGGAAGAAAAGCACTCAACCTAACCATGACTCACCCTCTGGTTAGAATTCACTGATTCTTACTTTTTTAATTTCTTGTGGAGATAATGAAGGGAAGTTAATCTATATTATACTGTCATAGTGAGGACCTCACAACCACAACCCCCAGAACCATCTCCTCCAGAGAGAATACAGTCTGATAATCCGATGGGTTATGCAAGTGTCACAACTGATGTTTAGTTTAATTCCAGGAAATACAATTGTGTCCGTGTCTGAAAGAGTTTTGGAATGTGAAGCCTTTTAAAGATCTTCACAGTGGAGTTGGTTCCTCATCTCATACTTTTACCATAGAGTTACAGCGAACAAGTATGGTAAATAAGGTGACGCCAGTTGGAAACAATCAGTTTGTCACCTTTGGAAATTCAGGTATGAAAAATCTCTCTTTACATGTTTTATGTCTCTCATCTGTTCGGAGATGTCTTGAGGTTATCATTTGAAATTAATTATGGGGACACAATGTATCAGTTAAGCTTCATGTGCACTTTGCAGGAGATGCAGTATGATACACTGGGAGCTTGTTATCTGGAGATGGAGTCCCTTCAACTAACATAGAAGTAAATATTGAAAGGTAAGTGAGAAGGTAGACAACTTTTGTTCAGGAAATGAACAATATGGTGGAAACTTCTATTTTGCGATAACAGCTATAATCACTGAAATTGCTTCTTCATCCAATATGGTTATTAACAGCCCCATTACTTTCTTTGTTTACCATTTTTTCTTTTTCAGAATTCTTGGTGGAAACTCAACTTACAATGGAATCTCCTGCCAATGATCGTCCTGGCATAATGACTTAGAACATCAAGAAGTATATTTCCTTTATATTCATCCTTTTAAGTACAAAATTAACTTTGACTTGTCTGATCAACTAACTTTACGCACCTTAATTGGCTACAGGCATATGAAAACATATTTGGAAACTCCAGGATCCCCTCAATTAGAATCCCTAAACAACTTAGCAGCTGGACTGAACAGAAAAGGAGCAGCTCAACACTTGTGGTATACAACATATGATCTATTTCCTCTGCCTATTTAGTGAAATTGCTCTGTCATTAATTACCTTAAAAGTGTCAAATAAGCATCTGAATTAATGGAAAACTGAGACCAGTGACCAACTTGTTTGCAGTTCTTGCTTCTCAAGGTTTTTCTTAAAAGTGGAACAAAAGGAGCCATTCGTAGACACTCTCATCTCTAAAGGAGCAAAAATGCGACACAAGGTTAGTAAAAAAAATTGAAAGCAGTAAATATTCAACAAGTCCATTTCTCTTTCAAAGCAAAATCCCATTTCTAAGTTTTTGCACAAATTTTGGCTTAGTAAATAAAAAATGCAATTATAGCTGGCAGATCTAAGTGAAACAATATCTTCATTTCTTTTATCATAATCCACCCCTAATTAACTAATACACTATAAAATAAAATATTCTCCTTTTTTGTAGTTTGATACTCATATATTTATATCATATAAAATATTAAAATTTATATTATATTTTACATTATAATTACATATCATAGATATAAAAATATAATCCCTTAATCTCGGCTCAGCGCCTATCTCATCTAGGGTTACCTTAATAGCGCAATTCCAATTAACTCCAAATAACCTTATATTTATAACGTTAATCACCCTAAATTTCTGTCCTAACTGTCCCCCTCCCTTCCAAAAAGAATCCTCCCATTTCCCCCCGCTTTCTCCCAATGTTTTCTCAGTGGCTAAGATCACCAAGCAGGGGAAACTCCTCACCAAAATCACCCTCTCATTTCTCTTCCTCTTCATTCAAAGACATTAACGCTATCCTCAAAGAGGAAGAGGAGTCTCAAATCTGTCCTCAATCCCCCAAAAGGCCGTCCATTTTCCACCGTGTCAAGCTTTCAACCTCAGTCCTCCGCGCCTGGGCCCACCGCCATGCTCCTTCCCCTTCATCCCAACCTTCCATTACCCTCCCCAACGTTGATCAAAGCATCGTCGTCTACTTCACCAGCCTCCGTGTCGTCCGCAAGACCTTCGAAGACTGCAAGACCGTCAGATCAATCCTCCGAGGGTTTCGTGTCCCTGTAGACGAACGAGATTTGTCGTTGGACTCTAATTTCTTAGACGAGTTGCAATGTATCTTCGGGCGCAAAAGCTTTACCCTTCCGTTGGTTTTCGTTGGTGGGAGGTACGTCGGTGGCGCAGAGGAAATCAAACGGTTAAATGAGTGTGGAGAACTGAAGAAGATGATTGCTGGGTTACCGTTGGTGGTGGGGTCCAGTGTCTGTCATTTATGCGAAGGGCTGAGATTTGTTCTTTGTCGCCAATGCAATGGTAGCCATAAGATCTACTCTGAAAAATTTGGGTTTCGAACTTGTACTGATTGCAACGCTAACGGTTTGATTAGGTGCCCATCTTGTTGCCCCGGTCACCATCGAGTTACCTACTCCTTCTCCTAGCTTAAAAAGATAGGATTAATAAAACAAAACATAGACAACTTTATTTTCTTCAACCTCTTGGGATCTGAACAACACAATGAATCCCTTTTTTTAGTAATCTTTTTATTTTCTAGTTGTATTTGGGATTTATACAGATGAATGTTAATATTCTTATTACCCAAACAACAATAAGTTCAGATTTTGTCCTCAGACATCAAAACCTAAAATTAAATGTTCAAGTGTGTGAAATTGAAATTCATTGCTAAAATGTTACAACTACTAACAGATGTTGGTTTAAGTAATAAAAGAATTTTTGAGTTGTTTTAAATTTAATCTTTTAAAAGATTATAAAAATTAATTCTTCGTAAATTTATTAAGTGCGGAGTAATATAAATATGATTGAATCCATAGAAAACTTAAAAGAAAGAAATGGAAATGGGTAACTACTTGTCAAATTTTATGGTTCAAACTCATTAATTTATTGCCTCCGTCTTAAAATGTTTATCATATATTAATTTTTACGAAATTTAAAAAAGAGTTTTAGGGTTTAATGTATTTAATATTAAATTTTTAAAAAAAAATTTATAAAATTAAAATTTCTTAATTTTTAATGTCAAAAATAAAAAAAATTTAAAATAAAATTTTAAAATATAAAAATTTTAGATATTAAAAGAAAAGATATAATTTTAGGATATCTAAAGAAAAACATGAAGAAAAAAAATGAAATTGAGGGAGTATAAATTTTACAAGAAATGGAAATTGGTAACAACTTGCCAAAATTTGTGGCTGAAACTCATTAACTTATTGATATTGCCATATGCAAGGCTATCTAATATTAAATTACTAAAACAATGTATTTGTTGAAGTCTAGTACTACTAATTTGTTAAAGCTACTAAATTACCTAAAAATTTTACCAGTTCCTTTGACTGTGAAAGTAAGGCATTTATTTATTTATTTATTTTCAACATGTTAGTAGTAGTATATTAGCTGGACAATGTTAGGTAGTTAATGCTGTCAAGCAAGATTTGGCAAAGAACAATAATTTCCATATATTTCCAGGGTGCCATGTATGAGTAATTAATTATTCTATGTCACGTGGTTTTCCACTGGAATCTCTAATAATTCTTTGTTTGGAGACTGTCCATCTAGTTGTGAAACAATGCTTTACTGGCAGGCTTTTGCTAATGTGCACGTTACAAACAAAATGCTGTTACGCAGCTTATTAGTACTTGGGCCTAATTCGCAGTTGAAAAATCTTAGTTTGAAAAAAAATATTTTTAAAGTGTAAAAAATTGTTGTGATAAATTTTACGATTTTTAAATGTTTAGTATTGTTAGAAAAATTACTGTAAAAAGTTAAAATATTTTTTTAAAAAATGATATTGGAAAGTGAAAAATAGATTATTTTTAATATTATTCAAGTAAATTAATGTTAAGGTATATGATAAAAAATAAATTTAAAATATTTTTGAAGTAATAATTAATATAAATTATTGTGAATTTTATTTGAAAATATACAAAAATACACTTATTAATTGAGGATATTTTTGTCAATAATAAATGATTGAATGAGTATTTAGTCATTTTACCCCTAAATCATAAATCACAAATCGCAATTACACTTCTCAATCAATTTTTGTTATTGGCTAATTTTTAGCGGTCTAAAAATGCTTTTGACACAAACCAAAATGTGTTTAGCATTGCATTTGCATTCAAAAGCTATATTTTGAAATCCAAACACAACGCTAATCAAGACTTTAGTAGGATAATTATAGATTTAAAGATTAAAAATATATAATTAATTTTTTATCTAAATCCAATAAATAAAAACTCTCTTACTTTAGAGCATCCTCTAGAATAGATAGGTCCTCTGAGATTTTCTCAGTTGTCTGTCCATTTCTAAAGGTCTTAGGTAAAGGAATCCTCTATCACTGTACCTTTTCCTTGTCTAGGTTGGTGCAATAAGCCATTGATACAAATGCATATAGGGTATCAAAATTAGCAAGGAGGGTCCAGTTGTCACATGCTCTTTGCAGATGATTCTTTATTTTTTATGACAACTAACATTTGAAATTGTTAAAGGTTGATTAATATTTTATTGCAATATTGTAAAACATCAGGAAAAATGATCAATCTCAGCAAGTCCAATTTAATCTTTGGTACAAATGTCTCAGCCCAAGTAAGAAGTGAATTGCTGCAATGTTTGCAAATGGCAGAAGTTTCAAATATTGGAACATATCTAGGAGTAAAACTAGCGATTTATGTATTTATATCATATAAAATATTAAAATTTATGCATTCGTATCGTATTTTATACGAAAATTACGTGTCATAATTCGTGTCAACATGAAAATATGTTGTTATTAATAAAATTTTAAGTCGAATCACCTTTATATTTTATTTTTGTATCATATTCATATCATGTTACTGTATCATATTCTAGATTAAAAGGTCTATATAGCAGTGCCTTCGTTTTGGGGAGAGAGTAAATATGAAGTTATGAAGTTTATAAAAAGAAAGAACAATGGGGAAAATACAATGGTGGAAACAGAAGTTCCCGTCAACTAGTGGAAAAAAATGTGCTTATTAAGGATGTGGCAAGTGTTGTACCTACCCACACTACGAGTTGCTTTAAAGTACCTATGAAGATAATTGAAGAAATAAATTCTGCAATGACAAAATGTTAGTGAAGGCAGAAAGATGAGGAGAAGAAGATACACTAGGTAAGTTGGCAAAATCTTACAGTAAGGAAGAAAAAAGGGGAAGGGGTTTCAAAGACCTAAAACTGTTTAATATAGCATTATTAGCAAAACAGGTTTGGAGGATGCTTGCTTTCCCAGATGCTTGTCGGGTGAGGATATTGAAGGCAAGATATTTTCCTCAGTGTTGTCAATAGGAGTTGATGCAAGTGGATAAGGTTTAGGATCTGAATGTGAAAATCTCTCGGTCCCTTATTGGTAGGCGATTTGCAAGTCCAAAAGGTCCCAAAGGATCCATGAATCCCTTTGTACGTTGGCAGCTTGCCCTGACCTTGGAGATGGAGTAACCTGCAGTGCTCTTAAATTTATACTTGACCAAAAATTTGATCAAAGAGTAAACAATGTGGCAAGTAATAGAAGGGAGGGAGGTGAATATATGGACATAGAAGTGGATTCGGGGGTATAGAACTTTATGCTTGATATTCGATGACAGTAATAAAAGTATGATGCAACAAAAAGTGATGGAAAGCATAAATAAAGAAACGGGCACCTGAAAGTTAGATGAAATAATGGAGCTATTGACAGAAGAAGCTTGTTAAGCCATACAAAGTATTCAGATTTGCCAACAAGATGGGGAAGATATATTAGTCTGGCCAAGCAATAAAGATGGCAAGTGTTCTGTCAAGACTGGAATCATGCTATGAAAGAAGCAATTCTAGGAAGAACTAATAAAGACACTTCTTCCTCAAATAGGGTGGAGGAATCTTTATAGAAGGATATATGAAAGCTAACAATCCCCACTAGAATAAATAATTTTCTGTGTAGAGCATGTCATTATGCAGTGGCCACCAACCATAATCTGTGGAAAAGGAAAGTAAGAGACTCTCCTTTTTCAATTTTTTTTTTTGTGTAAAGGTGAGATTGAATCCATTGAGCATACATTGCTTTTAAGTGATTGGACATAACTGATTTGGTTTGAATTGGATATAGAAGTAAAGGTGGAGGAAAATAGAGTGAGGCTACAGGTGAATGTAGCATATATATGTAGGATTATTTGGAAAATAAGGAATAAATCGGTGGTTCATAGGAGGATGCCAGAGGTAATGGAGATAATATATAAGTTAAAAGGAGCTATAGCTGCATATATGACTTCTGGAAAATTAAAAGGAAGAGCAAGGTAGGAACAGGAAAGCTGATTAACAGGAAAGATGGATACAACCTGAAGAGGGTTGGCTAAAGGTGAACTGTGATGATGCTTTTTCTCAAGGATCAATAGAAGTTTGCTTGGGGATTATTATAAGAAATCATAGGAAGGAGTTGGTAAATGGGGGTAGCAAGAAAGTAAAGGCAGACTCTAATCTATCTGTTAACTGAGGCTCTAGCATTTAGGGAAGGTGTGAGTTTATAAAAAGGAATTGGATACAGGAAGATTGTGTTGGAGACTGACTCAGAGATAATGTATAAAAGATATCAAGGAATGGTCAAGGTCAGGTGTGTTAACAGAAAAGCAAATAAAGTTGCAGATTAGATGGCTAGCTGCCCAAGCCAAGAAGGGTATATGCCTGGAAAATTGGGTATTATTGTCCCCATCCTCATTGGCTTTTCATCCTAAATAAAGATGGATTGGCAGCTTCCCCTTAAGATTGAGGTTGGACTTTAGGATACTGAGTTTCTATGGTTTTGCTCTCTTGTATTCTGGTAAGGTTGTGAATCTTTGATAAATTTTTGTAATTACATTCTTTAGCAGTAATGAGCACTGTTTTTTGGCCAAAAAAAAAAGATTAAAAAATTGTAAAAATGCACAATCTGAAAGATGGAAATTGGTACTAGACCTGGACTGTGGAACACGAGAGGTAAATAGAATTGGCAAAGTTGATTAGAACTTTTTGTACCCTAATTGTAAGTTGATACCTTAACTGTTAAGTCAGTTATGTCGGTGCTCATTAATCACCAAGATGGTGACTTGCTAAGCACAAACCAACCACCAATTAATCTAATTCTAAATCATCTTATAAAAAATAAAGTTGAGACACAAATATCTCATTTTAATCATTTCATTCTCTCTTACTCACTCTTATCTAAGCTCACATCTTTATATTTTACTTTAACTTACCTTTCACTTAGCTAATACACATTAGTGATTTGAGTATTGAAATACATTCCAAAATTATATTTTTGACTTCTTAATCATAATCGTTTCTTTTTTTACAAGTTAATCTAACTTTTTAATCGCTTCTCCAACAAATTTTCCAAAGAAACCCAATCAAACTAATCCAAAAACTCAAAAAACCAACATGAACACATCTCATCCAAATCAAAACAATTTGAATATGATGGTTCAAATATGAAGCAATACTACTTAATTCGTCCAATTCCATCTCCAAATATAAGAATAGGAAGT